ATAAAACAGAAAAAACATACTTTACAATGGTAATTATGACTGATTAAAGAATGTATGTCATCAGTGTGATGGTACAAAGCACACAATGCTGTTTCCTACTCAAATATTTGCAGACATCTCTGATTTTTTATAATGAAATCTCATCTAAGTATTGAATTGATTTTAAGAACCATCCTGAAGCTCACAAGAGCTTTTGCTGTCAGAAACCCTGTCAGATATTTGAACTGCAATTTGTCTCCAATGGTTCCCAGCTTGAGCTAGAGAAATGCTGTAAACATATCCTTTTAGGAGATGATGAGTCTGAAAAATCACTGCCTGCAAAGACAACATCTCTGAGACGAGCTGAGGACCTCTCCAGCTATAACAGGAATTTTAACAATCCCCACACCTTGACAAAAACTTTTGCTGCAGATTTTCTGTTCTTCTCAAACATATCCAGGAACTGCTCTGTTGTGTGAGTAAGCTGTCCTCTTTTGATGGCTAAGTACCTGGAATCCTCTCCTCATTCACTACATATGTGCATGACAAGTATGGCCTGCAACCATGAAGCCAAAGGAAATAAATCAAATCCTTCTGAGGACTTCTGAGAGCTTCACAGCTATTGGATATGAAGTAACACAGTTTAAACAATGATACATTAATTAATTATAAATGACAGCATGTGAACCCATGGAATTTCTATTAATACCAAATGAGTTCGTGATGGTTTATATAAAATTAGAGACTGATAGAAAACCCTCCATGTGCTAATAACATCCAGATATTTAAGGAAATTGACTTTGAATGTTGCTGGTCATTATACAAAGAATATTCAATGAGCTGAATCCTGAGGCTGACCCTTCACTATTGTTTTGTTTTAAGCAAAAATGTCTATTTGCTTTAATAAGAACTCTTTCCAAATAAAGGAAATCACCTCAGATGCAACCCTTGTGGATATGTCTCACTGTCACGTTCAATATAGCTGTCTGAACTCTTGTATTTGTGACAACCTGCTTCCTGTTGGCTCTTACAGTACTTGCCAGATTTTTCCTTGTTTCCTTTAGGTGTCTATTTGGACTGAGTTTCACTGCATCTAAGAAAGATAATGATGTACAGAAGGAGAATCTGTGCTTTGCTGCAGTCCCATTAATCCCTTAAAAATTTGGAATCAGAAGACAACCTGTCATGGGTTATATTTCTAACCTGGCTGAAAAAACCACATGCATTTCAAAGGCCAGCCATTTCCCTCACCAATCCTGTGCGCCACCCCTGCTGCTTTGGAAGAGCATAAGCCATAAGCCCCAACTCTCACACCTCCGAAAAAGTAAAATACTAAGGAAAGCGATGAAATCATTAAAAAGACAGGAAACAGACGGGTGTTTGCCAAATGGAGAAGGGCCACATGACTAGGCAAAGAATGTTTATTTTAGCACTCCCAAAGTCTGCTAAAGATAGCAGAGAGTGAAAATAAACGTGAGAGCTATCACACTGAAGAGGAGTTCACAAGCATCTTTAAGGTAGCAACACAAGGGACAAATTTTGGAGCTGTATGTCTGAGTAGGTTCTATACCAGCTGCTCTGACCACCCAAACAATGGGGCACTTTGTGGACAGGTGGGTACACATTGAGAAGTGGGGCAAAACCACAGTATCCTTCATTTTGAAGGATAACAAAATGCCTATGCCAATAATACCATTGCAAGTGTTCCTAGACTGCTCCATACATCTCTAGGTTTGGGTCAGCACAAAACTAAGGATCATGAAGTAGAATCTAGACACACAAAAGTTCCCTGCACTACTGCACTATATACCAAAACACATGCAAACAGCGATTTCTGAATAGATTCTGCTTTCTTATTTGACCTTATTTCTTTTCAAAACTTCTTCTAGATTCTTCAATAGAGAAACCTAAATAAATTGCAAAAACCTCAAGTGCTTTGTTTGTATACTTTATAAATTTTCATATTTTTTCTGACCTGATGAAGAGAATTATCAAAGACTGCCATGCTAATTCCTGAATTTCTTCCTGTTTATTGCCCTTTCACAAGTGGCTGACTCAACAGACAACTGAGAAAAGACTAAATAAGTTTTCTCTGGGTGGCATTTTAAGCTGGAGTATTTTAAGAACTGCTATTATGTTGCAGCTGAATATTCCAGCAGACTGTCTGACTCCTTTCTGAATCAGAGTGCCACCAGGCCAAATATTTGCACAAATTCCATGCATTGCCCTGCAAATTCTGCAAGGCAATTTTATATGCAGGTAAACAGTGGCTCTTTATGCCAGCATTTGATCTCTAAAAAATGTATTCTTTAGAACAACACAAGATTAAATTGCAAATCTAGCAAAATCCATGCTTTCTCAAGATTTATTTTTAAATGTCATATGTCTCAATCCATAAACAGACACATAATTGTATAGACAGATCTCTTAGTGAAGAGAGATTGATAAATCTGAAGTTGTACAGGAATTAAGGACAAAAAAAAAGACATCTCAAAGCCTTCAAAAGATCGATTTGAACAAAAGTTGCTGAGTTGCTGTCAATGATACCAATTGTCTGGGTTGAAATTTTTTGAGACAGAAAGTTGGTACTTCAAACATACAAACAAGGTCAGTGAAAGATTTCACTGAATCGGCAAAATTCCTCCGTCCTCCAGTCTTTTAGAAAAAAAAATTAAAGTCCATTTATAAGAAAGTAGAACTGAGAAGAAGCAGAGCTATTTTAAAAAGATTACTAAATGTAACTAATGTAAATTTGAATATGTACCTGCGGTATTTGGAGTGGTAGAGGCAATGAATCTGGGCTCCATAACCCCACTTCCACAGCATGATTGTTTTCTAAATCACTCTTCAGTGATATGCAATCTGAGGAAGTCTTATCACAAGTCTCCTTTAAATGGTGGTTAGTAGCAACTAAGACTATTAGGAAGAAAAACACCTTTTTTTCTCCTAACTTGCAATTCAAAACCAAAATGCTGGTTTATGTTTATTTTGAATAGAAATATGCTCTCATAACCAGAGAACTGACTTAATAAAACACACCAACTGGAACATACTTAAAATTCCTTCCTCCTTTCTATTGAAGTATTTGTTTTGTCACTAGCTTGCTGACTGATCTTACACAGCTTGTTAACACCTATAGTTTACAAAAGTATCCAGTACTTTTTATTTATATTTTTTGTGCAGAACAAAATACAGGAGTTGTCTGATTTTCAGGGCCATGAAAATGAAAACCTCAGTGTGCAGATTCAGCATCTTTAAAAAAGAATATGGCTCCTCCATAATTCACCCCCAAACTCCAGTTCCAGTTACCACACAGAAAGATGCATCCTCCTCTACAAAGATGGGAAGTTTCAGATATAAGAGAATAGAAGTCATGGACTAAACCTCACAGTCATGGTAATGTCCATTTATAAAACAGGCAAAATGCTGATCCGTTGTCTTTGTGGGCAACCTCAAGAGTGCCCATTTGACGACTGCAAAATCTGTCAATTTCAGTGTAACAGGAAGTCTTTCTTCTGCCATTTCTCCTTTACGGAGAACATCTACTAAACTGTCAAGCCCTTCTGATGTAGGAACTGGTTGGAGGAAAATGAAACACAAGGAAAGCAGATGATGTATAGCAGGACATGAATGCAGTAGTGAAACAGACTGCCCATTGTCTTGCCACAATGCCCGTACAAAGCCACACGTGAACACTGGCAGCCTTGATGGCAGAAGACATCACGTGCAAAGTGGAAGCAAAGGAACTGAGAACTCAATTACATGATTCTTGAGTCCTGATCACAAGACAGAAGTCAAACTCCTTAACTCTCTTCTCAGACACAACAGTTAATGAGAGGTGTCCTTTAAATAATAATCAAGGAATCTGACCAACAGTGAAGAGTTGGGTTTTTTGACCACCTCCTGTTGGTTTCTACTTTTCTAAAAAATTGTGAATTGACACCTGAAGGAAAGTGGGAAAAAAAAGGAAGAAATAACCAGAAAGAGAGAGGGGATTGGTTTTTCTTTCAGTTACTTTGCTGCTGGTAAATGGTGAAGGTGTACGGTAATTTTAATCCAACATCCTCAGTTTAGGAGATGTTGTTTTAGAATCAACTTACTAATTGAAGAAAACAACACAATTTTCTTTCTTTCTCAGTAAGTATTCATTGAGCCTGAGGCAAGGAGACTGTGGTGTAAGGGAAGAGTGGCCAGAGAGGGAAAGGCACTCTTTGCCAGGCAGCAAGCTGAGGAATGAAGTTCTTCAAAAGTGTGATCACTTCAACTCCCACTTTACATGCAGACAGGAGAGAAAATATGAGTTTATCAATGTATATCCAAGATACTGTGGAAAGAATCTTCAGTATACAGCCCTTGACACAGGCCCCCACGTTTCTCTTGGAGCAGGATTCAGCTATGGATAGGACAAGAGGACATAGTGCTAAGCTGTGCCAAGAGAAGTTTACATGGACATTAGAAAGAATTCCATAACAGAAAGTGTGACTAGATACTGGGATGGGCTGCCCAGGAAGGTGATGGAGTCACCACCCCTGGAGGTCTTTAAGGTGTGACTGAACATGGCACTGAGTGCCACAATCTGGTCGACATGGTGGTGTTTGGTCAAAGACTGGACTTAATGATTTCAGAGGTCTTTTCCAACCCAATTGAGTCAGGGAGTCTGTGAATGAGAAAACAGTTTAAGATCCCTCGATGCCTCCACAAACACCACTCCTGCTGCCTGCCGGAGCACAGGGCCAATCCCACCCCTGCTCCTGTCTCTTGAGAACTACACCAGGGAACACACGACCAGAGCCGAGGGCAGGAGCACGACGGCTGCCGCCCGGACACACCAGGCTCCTATGCTCAGACACCGGGGAGCACCTGTTCCATGGGCCGCTGCCCCCCAGAGCCGCCGGCGGGACGCGCGGCCGAGCAGGGCTGGGGCGGCGCAGCCCGGACGCCACTCTCGCGAGAGAGCGGCCCGCCTCGCCTGCGCCCCGCGCACAGCCGCACCTCTCGCGAGAGCGGGGCCCGCGGCCGGCATGGAGCGGCTGTTCGCGCTGGAGGTGCTGGTGGAGGCGCTGCGGCTGGCGGAGCCGGGCCCCGCGGAGCTCCCGGGCCCCGCGGAACACCCGGCCGTGGCGCTGCGCCTCTTGGACTTCCCCACCCTCGTGCTGCGCCCCGCCGCCGCAGCGCCGCCCCTGCGGCCGGGGCAGCCCTTCCCCTTCGGCCGCGGCAAGCGGTGCCTGTTCCGCTGGTGCCCGGACTCGCTTTTCGCCGCGCTCCGCCGCCGCCCGCTCCGCGCCCTGCTCCTGGCGCTGCCCGCCGGGCGCGCCCCGGGACCCCCGCGCCTCCTCGGCAGCAGCGCCGTGTCCTTGGCCGCCGCCGCCGAGCTGCTGCAGCGGCCCGGGGCGCCCTCCTCCTGCGGCCTGCGCGGCCGCTTCGTGCTGCGGGACACCGCGGGCCGCTCCGCCGGGGAACTGGTCCTGCGCTACCGCCTCGCCAGCCTGGAGGGCGGTGAGGTGCGCCCCGCCGCTCCCCCCACTGCCACTCCGCCTGCCACCGCCCCTGAACCGCGGGACCGGGAGGAGGAGGAGAAGGAAGAAGAGGAGAAGGAGGAGGAAGAGAAGGAAGAGGAGGAGGACAGTGAGCAGCTGGAAGGCAACGTCTTTTGCCCTCCGCTGCTCTATTACAGCCGTGAGCCGGCTGAGCCTCAGCGGCCGCCAGCAACAATGGGGCAATGGGAGCATGTCGAGCCCCAGCGACCGCAGAAGGACAAGGGCCACAGCCCCCCACGGCCCAGTGCTGGGCCCTCGCTGCTGCACCCCGCCAGCCCCTGCCAGCCCCAGAACGCCCTGGTGCAGCTGCCACTGCTCAGTGCCTTGCTGGCAGAGCTGTCGGTGCTCACCCGCAGCGCTGTGCCTGCTGCTGCTGCCCCCCCTCACCTTGCCTGGCTCTGCCAGGCCCCAGGGAGTGGAGACACGGCCTCACTGCCCCCCAGTCGCTCTGCTGCCCTCGGGCCTGCAGAGACACCTGTGGGGCCTGGCAGGAGCAGTGAAATCACGAGCCCTCCGTTCAAACAAGGCTGTCAAAAAGCCTCCTCCCCAGGGTCTTCCGGGGTTGGGAGAAGACCCAAGAAAGCTGTGCCCAAGGCACAGTCAGTCTGTGAAAGGAGCTGCAAAGCTAAGGAGAACAGACCTCCCAGAAAGAAATTGATGTATGGGCTGACGAATACACTGAGGCTACGGCTGCTGCAGACCAACCCTGATAAGCTGATAATTCATGAAAGGAGGGAGCAGTACAGAAAAAATCAAATGGAGATGCTGAAAGAGAGAAGCCCCTTACCCAAGAGAAAGTTGATCAGAAATACCGAAGAACAGCATGTGGTGTCTTGCAAGCATTGTAGCACAGGAGGTAGTTCAAAGCGGAATAATCAGTTGGATAAAATTGTTCAGACTTCATTAGAAAACAGTGCCCTCTCAGAGTCAGTTTCTGTGACAGGAGATTCATCCCCTGGCCTGCAGAAACCGTCTACTGCAAGTCTATCCAGGAAGGATTCAATAACTACAGCCCCCTTACCGGAGGACATGCTCTTAAAATCTGCTCATGAGGAAAAGTATGTAAAAGCTCTACTCACAGCAGCATTCCCATCAAATGCTAATGTGAGAGGAAGTTACAATGATGCAACACACTTAATCCATCATAAAACCATGGAGCATGATCATGTCTCTGTTGTAAGTGGTCATAAACTAAGCCCCAGCAGGAGTGTTGAAAACAACTCTGAATTCATATATTCTGATGACTTTGTTACTAGTCCAGAGAACTCAGTTTGTTCAGAAGATTTCACCAATGCTGAGTGTACAGGCATAGACTCAAAAGTTTGTGACAGCAGTCCTGAACCTCTGTGGCTTGAAAGACCAAAGCAGGATAGGTCAGATACAGAGCAAGAATCCAGCAAGCCCAGAATTTCAAAGACAAGTGCAAGAGCTCAAAGTACTTCAGATCTTGTGTCAGTTCCTTCAGCTTCATCTCCAGTCCAGTCTTTGAGGAGAAACTGTGACTTTAAAACCAGCATGGGGACGAGTGCCGAGTCTACTGATTCACTTAACCTTGCTGAGATGGAGGCATCATTATTAGAAGAGCAGGAAGCCCAACAGATGAGTAAGGAAGAGAACAGGGGTGATCGAGATATTCAAGAAATGTCTACACTGAAAAGCAAACAGGTTGCATCTGATATGGATCTGAATACAGGAAAGTGGCAGACCTCTACAGGACAAAAGCAATCAGTAACTCAAGTTAGCTCTTACTTGCCATCTAACATGTCTGATCTTGAACTTAGTGTTCTGGAAGACAGTAGGTCAGACAAAGAAGATAATTTTCTGGAAAAACTACATGGTCCTAATCAGTACAAAGACATCAGTGAACTTGTAATAAACAAACTTCCAGGATACACAATGTAATTATACCTTTTCACTGGATTGAGATACAATATTTAAACTTTGTAAATCCTGTTACATTTAGTTGCACTATGTGCAAGTTAATTTAAAATTTTACCACGCACATTTATTACATCAGTGAATTTAGTTACGAGATTTTTTTTAATAAATTACTACTTGAATCTCTCAAATGGTGTCTACAGCCTGATTTCAGTGTTTTAACACTCCTAATACAAAGTAATCCAAACAGTACTGAAACAACTTACTGTTGAAGCAGAAGTGAAGACAGAAGCAGCAAAAGCAGCCAGTACCCACCAAAGTAGTCCAGGGTAGAAGTAATAACATGCTACCAGAACAGCCAAGCACAAAATTCATTCCTAACAAAAACAAAAAGGTTTTATTCCTCCTGAAAATTTCCAAGCTTCCTTTTCATTAGAAATAGTTACTTAGAACATACAGTCACAGCCAGTAGCATCACAGAATTTTATCAGCTTTCATCAGTATAATGATGTGTTTGTTTCCCTTTTCCATCACTAAATACAGTGACCAGAACTGAATGAGCCCTTTTAGAGTTTCTTAGGTTGAAGTGTCATTTAAGTCAGATTTTCACAATTTATTATTGAATAGTGTAAGAATTTTTGGTGATAGTAAATCACCATGGTGAAACAATCTGGGCAAGCTTTAAGAGGTGGATATAAGTTACTTGACCTTGGAGACTAAGGGTGTGCAAGGAGTAGGGAAGAGCATAGTAAATCTTAAACGCCTCACAACTCCCTAATTGCATTCTCTGACTCTAGGGAAAGAGGTGGGGTCAGCACCCACAGTCCAGAAACTTGGAACAAATGAGCATATTATGTCATGATGTAAAGATGTGGGGTAATGAGAAATTTGCCATGTCTCCTTTGCCATTAAGATGGTTGAACTGATGCTTGATTTTGATTTCAGGTTTGCTTTTAATGGCTTCCGCTTTGATCACTGAACTTAATGTCTTCTGTTTAACTATGGATGTCTTTCTAGAGTCTATGTGCTGATCCCAGATTTTAGAGATGTTTTTTGACTTGAATTTCTGCCTTACTTTTTAGTCTCATGTACCCCCCTTTCCCCCCTCTTTAAGTAGTTAATCTCCTATGTCAGCTTTACATTTCTAACTGTCTCATCAATCAGGACAGTTATCCTCAGGGTTAAATGACAGATTTATCCACTCCCCTTTTCTTTATAATTTAAAATCTGACTTTTTTCCACAACATTTTCATTTCTCACTGTAATTTTCCATGTACTTTATTGCAAGAGCCTGTGTTTACACTTTAACATCTTAGAGCAGCTTTTTCCTTTCTCTCCTACTATGTGTTTATTTTGTAGTAATTGCAGCACCTCTGCTATTTAAAGCATGAACATCTGTGAGGATTATTGGACTATCTAGTGTTGACTTCCTAAAAACCACTAGTAATATTTTTAATCTAAAGGTAAGCAGCTGAAATTACCTATATGCCAAAGGAATTTCTGGCCAGAGCAATTCCTAAATCTTATTTAGGGTGTCTTTCATCAGCTACAATTTTAGACCAAATATTTTTTGTTTTCCTTTTTCTTCCAATGTCATGGAGTTCTTCGATACACATGGATTCAGACTGTCATTTATATATTTATTGATGGAGTAATGTCTTGCACTTCTCATGAGCAAAACTGTCATTAAAATACAATGCTGACCAACCATTTTTACAGAGTGGCTATTATTAAATGAGTTGCTAATGCTACAAGGGCACAATTTGAAGAACATTATTTAAGAAAATTTTATTTCAAAAATAAAAGTTTATTTTCAAGAAGGTTGAAATTCAAGGGCAAATTTCCAGTCTTTTTTATATCCCCTATTCCATCTTCACTTTACAATTTCCAGAAGCAAATATGGTAGGAGCAATATTTCTTTTGTTTAAATTATGAAACTAATTTCTTTTCAGCTAATTTTATTTGGAGTAACATTTCTAATGTTTACTGTGTAATAGCATTTATAATTTTATCAGGAGAATGATGAAAATGACAAATGCATACTAGGAAGACAGTAGGAGACACTACATTAGAACAAAACTGCAGCATCATGCTTGCATGGCTTAGCTTGTTTTTTTCTTTTCAAATATATACTCCAGGAAGTGATTATTGCATGGAGAGGTTGGCAGGTAGTTTCTACCCCCAGTGATAATAGTCTTTTCAGATATTACTATCTTCTTGTGAGAGTAAATTAACTTAGCAAACAGCAACTCTTAGTCAACAAAAATGAGAAAGAACTTTATTATTGAAAACTCATAAACCAATATATTAGCAAGAAATAGCTGCTAATGACAAGAAGCTTCTATGTCAACATAACAGAACAAAACAGAGATATTTATTACCAATATAAAATACTTTACAAATGGCCGCAGCAAACTGCTTTTTGTACAATTTCTGTAATAATCTACACCTACATTACACTAACTAGGCAGTTTTGTCTTATAACTTGCAGCCTATACCCCAGTTATCAAGTAGATCAGAGGCTTAATAAGAGACATCTAATGGAGGTATTACACCATTCTTTCATACAGGTATAATTTCTCAACTTTAAGGGCTGAATTGCATGAATAATGTTTGTGCAGGCGATATGCTGGGAGAAGCAAATAATAGTAGCATATACACTAGAATTCTTGCACAGCCGTCCCAGAAGTAAATAAATACCTAATACATAGTCTCATTGACTCATTACGTCGAAACATTTCCTTGCTGCATGCTATTAAACAGAAAACTACAGTTGCTTCAAATTTTATATTGTTGTAAACTTTACTACAGCAAAATTAAAAGGTGAGAAGTTATTACCTAAATTTATAGATCCTCTCTAAACAAAGCCACCTAACTTCTTACTTTAGACTTGTTACTTTAACAAGATTACTTTAAATCTCTATGATATTTTAGAAATAAGTTAGATGGGTGTTCAAAAACATAGTGTCATGGCTTAAGTTTAGAGTGGTTAAATCTGCCCAAATAAAATTGAATTTCATGTTTTACAACAAGATCCAAAACAATAAATAAACTCTAAGGTCTTAGATTAATTCAGATTTTATGACTGTTGCTATAACTGTTTTTTAAAAAGTTATTTCAGCATACTATTTACTAAAACAAATTTAGATAGCCACTACCACAGTAACTTATGATGCAATGGGAAGAGCAGGATACCAAATACTGATAGTTTCTGACACTCTTCCCCTTCTATTGTCATATTTTCCTGCCACTCAGTACTTCTTACAAGTCCTATTACTTGATGTCCAAGAACAGTGCTAAGAAATCCGAGCCAGGTAGGTTTCCTCCAATTAATTTTTTTATTCCTCAGCACTCTGATTAGATGGCACAGTTTCTGCTATGTGATTTCTTTGATAACAGCTTCTACCACCTATTTTACTACTTGTAATCCCTTAATCATTTTGGAAATCCTTTTCCTCAATTCTCTGAAATTCCATCCAGCCTTGGAACCAAACTTAATATAAAGTGCAATTGAACTTTCGACTTGTTCTTACTACTTTTATTTTTCTAGGCCCCAGTATTTTGTGATGCCTGGTATTGTAATAATTTTGTTTCTTTGTGTAAGTGCTGCTCAGAGTTAGATGCTAGTCATTATTTAGAAATCTTTATGACTTTGCTTTCCTTTTCTCAGCATTTGTCACCAGCATTTACTTTACTACTTGCTTGTCTTTGATTATCTAAAAAGAAGTCAAATAATTTAATCCTGTATTTACACCTTTAAAAGATTTTGTTGACTTCTACATGCAGGACCTTCAGTGACTGTGTAACACCACTCATTCAGAGCTGTAAAATGACCACCCAGGACTGTGAACATTTGCCCATAGTTATCATTTGCCATGGCAGACATCAGGCTTCTCTACCTCTACCAAACCCTGCCTTTTAATCCTTTTCTAAAGTTTTAATTTCCAAATTAACTTTTCTTTCAATATGACTGAGGCCATCTCTGTGAGAACAGATGTTGGCTTTAATTTAACAGGCATTTAGTGCTAATGGCAATCACATCTGCTATAGCTAATGTTTGCTACCAGATAGCTGCTTGCATTTTCCATCCTCTCTTTCAGTCAGTATACTGCTGAATTTTAATTTCAGTTTTGTTCACATTGAGGTTCTTCCCTCCTGTTTAGCCTCTTGTAGGCATGCAGTTATGTTGAAGTCACCCAGACAAGCTGCAACTTCAACTGTCTTTTTCTTGTTTGGCATTGACATTCATCTGCATTAAACTGTTTTTGCTCTAGTTTGGCTTTTATGATTTCACTTGTCTGAATTTTATATGGCAATCATAATGTAAACCTCCCCTGACTTTACAGAATTGCTTGCATATTCCCTGAAGCATATTCTGTGTTCTCTGTTGTTTCCTAGAGGATAAATTTGAGTGTCTCATGCTGGCAAAAACAGTATTAATCTTCAATTCTGCAGAGACTTCTGAAAATGATTCGCTTACCAATTATTTAAAATAACATGGCTTGGTAGAGGAAGTGATTAAATAACATCTGAGATACATATTACTCCTAACTAAATGAACATTTAAAGATTGATTCAGGTATAGAGAATATAAAACCCCAAAGCTAAACAAACCCACCTTCCCTCCTGAACAACAACAAAAAAAGCCCCCATAAAACTAAAATGTTAACTAAAACTATTTCAGATGTCTGTTGTATATTTTTATTCTAATCATAGACATTTTACAAACATTTCGGGTATTAGCCTGAAAATTTCCTTCATGCCTTCATGTTCTCTATGTGTCTACTAACAGAAGGTAGCAGTTTCTTAAAAGGAAGTAAAGGTATTTAAATTGTCAAATCCCCTGAAATTCCATGAGAATTAGTCACCTCAAATATGGTTGTGGAACGGAAATCCATGCAGAGGACTCTAACTGCATTATCGCTTGGAATGCAAAAATGTTTTTGAAAGAAGATAAGTCATGCTTCAACAAATATTTTCAGAGGCATTTGGAAAGTTTAGTGGTATCATGATTGAAAGAAACTCCCTTGGTGTCAAAAATATTCCAGCCCTTTTTCTCTGGTCTTTAACTGTTGGCAGATTCAGTATTTTTCCTGTCTCTTATGCTTATGTAAAGAATACTTAACCTTTGACTCCTCCCTAAATTTCCATGCCAACATGATATCCAGAACCTTATTTCGGGGACATCTTCCCCTGCTCTCCCATCATGCCTTTCATTTTGATGCCTTGCCTGTTCTA